AGTGGGAATCTTGTAGGGTTGTGATGTTAATAAATCCACAGTTACTGAGGCTGCCAGGTCCAATCCGAGGCTGCCTGAGGTTGCTGGCAGAAGTTGACCGCTTGGCTGTCGGAGGCAGGGGCTACTTGTGTCTCCGCGCGGCCCGTTTTCGCGCTGGCTCTCGAGTTTCCCGGCCCCCGGCGGCAGGCATTGTTGTTATGAGTGCTGGATTGACATTTTCCGCACCACACTCCCGACACATTGCATTCGCGGCGGATGTGTCCCATCCGTCCACATCTGAAGCATTTCATTCTTCTTCCCGCACCGGGGCGCCGCTGCAGTGTCGTCGCTTGGAGGGGTGCAAGGGCAGCTAAAACCTGACTCTGGGCTGCTAGAGTTTGTTCTTTAAAGGCCTGTGCCTGGTGCTGCAGTCCTTCTCCTATTTTTTGCAGAGCTTCTACCATAAACACCTGAGTGCCACTTGGCATAGCTGCAGCCTTATCTAACAAATCTTGGACATTCCAATTTCCTGGTGCTGTGGCTATTAAAGATCGAGTTGTAGCATTTCCATTCTGTAATATACACTGTTTAACTAACGCGTCTTGCATATGCTCAGCTATACCTGCCTTGGCCAGGGCTTCAATAATTTTGTCCACAAAGGAGCCAAGGGCTTCATCTCTACCTTGCTTAATCCCCATATACATGGGGATACCCCCGGGTGCCCTGATCTTATCCATAGCTCTTTTTGCAACTGCCATAGCTTCTCTCAGTTTCTCTCCCCCCAAGGCCGCCTGTTGCTCTAAGCGAATATGGGCTCCATTGCCCGTAAGTTCATCTACAGTGAGCCCTGCGAGGGGATCACCAGCGGGGCGAGGAAGTGCAGCACTTGCAGCTGCCTCCTCCCTCCATCGAGTCTCAAACATAAGTCTCTGATGAGGGGTATATATGAGACGAGCCATGCCTCTAATGTCAGCGGGCAGCAGGACGGCAGAATTGAATAGATACTCAATCATCTGTTTCACAGGCTCACTCGTGACTCCAAATTGTGCCACCGTTGATCGTAATTGAGACAAAAGTTTCCAATCGAGCTGCGTAACTTCAGCTCGCTGCCCCCCCCCCTGCAAAGGGTGAAATATCACAGGGAAAGCAAGTGGGGGTGCTATTTGCTCCTGAGCTGCTGCCGCCAATTCCGTATCTCCCTCTTGCAGACCCTGCCGTGCAAGCGCCGCCCATGCCTCACGCCTGCCCCGTGCCACAGCCTCCGCGAGATCTGATAAGGCCCCGGGGAACGGCTCCGTGGCTGCGGCGTTAGATAATGCACCCGGAGGAGGCGGCGGCGGGAGCGGCGGCGGGAGCGGCGGCGGGAGCGGCAGCGGGTGATCCGAGGGGACAGGGGGTGCAGAGGGAGTCGCAGACTCCCTAGAATCTGGCGGGGGCAGATTTACAGAAGCAAATATCGGTGGATTCGGAGCTGAAGGGTCGATATAAGCCTTATTGCGATCTTGCGCCACGCGGGCATTATCGGCAGCTCGCTTTTCTGCCTGACACATGAGTAACTCATTCTGCACAATCTTCCATAATTTGCTCATCTTTTTTGATACTTTGTCATCCTCTAAAACTAACTCCCAGAGGCGATCACCATACCTACGCCACTCATGTAGTTCGTGGACTGAGTGAGGGTTAGTGAAAAACCCATACGAAACAGCATGGGTTAACAGGAGAGGTAAATCTTTCTCTAAATCTAAACCCTTAATGTCCCGCTTCTTTAAGAAGGCGGTGAAAAGATCATACGCCGCTTGCCTGTCCATACTCACCGGTACCGTTGCAACCCCCCAGGCGTCGGCAGCGCGTAGCGGCAGAGCCCACCGATGTGGCGCTCAGGGCAACAAAGCACCGTCCAAGGGACCCGCCCCCAACGCAGCTCTGGGGAGGGAAGGGAAAGGCTGTTCGGGCGCCAGATGTCGGGATTTACCGGAGCCGCGGAAGACAAGCCTCATGCTCTCATGGTCAGCAAGTCTCGTTTATTAGCAACTCTAAAACCACTTATATAGCATCAGTAATTAGGCTCATACATAGTGCAAAAGAAAGCTCATTATTGGATATTTCTTTTAAGGTCAACTCCACCTAATTCTACATTCCTGTGATCGCTCATCTATGCTGAATTCACATTCTTCTGATCACAGCATCCTGTTCTCAGTTAACAGTTATCACTAAGGCCTTCCTGAACTTTGCAACATCTCACACCAACTGTACTCCATTGTCTAACTCTTTCGCAGCTAACTGCTGCATGGGAATATGACCTTTGCTCTCTAGCCATTCCTCCACAGGTGGGGTTTACAATGATGGATGGGGAGAAGGGGCAGGGTGAAGGTAACTGAGAGAACTTTCAGGCAAAAGAGAAGGGGTTTACGATATTGACAGTTGGGGTAAAACCATTACGTAACAATAGGGGAGCAACAGGAACATACCAACTTATGCTTAACAAAATTAAACAGACTGCAACATCTCCCCCTTTCTTTTTCAAAAAGAGGAGGTTGCAGGGTCAGGGGGAGCAGAGGGTACAGTTTCTTTTAAAAACCACCCTTCACAGGTGGGTGTGGGAGGAGGTGAGGAGGAGGAAAGAGGATCTAAATTAAGGTGGTTGACTTGGGGTGGGGGAGACAAAAGACGGAAAACGGACTGAACTAGACATCTTCTTAACACAGTAAACATAACTAATATCATGAAAATAATGAAAACAACCCATAAAATTGATTTTATGATCGAAGAAAGCCATCCTGACATCCCCCAACCAGAGAAAAGGTTGGTAACCCAGTCCTCTGATTCTTGCTTGATCTGATGGATCATGCCTTTCATTTCGTTGATGGTTTGATGAACATTGGGGCTCTTGGAGGTCAGGTTCATGCAGCATAGTCCCTCAAATTCCCTGCACTCGTGGTTGTGCAGGAGCAACAAGAAATCAATGGTGGCATGATTTTGCAGTGTGGCCCGCCTGGTGATTTCCTCGTCTTCGAGGAAGTCACTTAGCGCAGTTGATGTTAAATTTGCTTGTTTCACTACCCAACATTCAAATCGGCCTAATTCTCCTAGAGCCTTGGCAGCGGCCACCCAGGGCAAAAACACTGACACTGCCACTCATTTTAACTTACTCCAATGGAAAATTTCGGAGTCGCAGTCTGGGTCTAAATCGTCTAGGCTGCGCTTCTTGATCGCCGAATTATTTTCTGTAGCCCAATCATCAATTTGAGTTGCATTGGGGGAAAACAAGGACAACTGGCCTAAGGTGCATGGCCCTCTGAGAAGGCGAGAGGGGATGCCTGCCCACACCCGATCTCCGCAAATTAAAAATAGACCTTTTTCTAACTTTCGAGGGGAAGGATCAAGGGTAGAGGGCATTTTTACATGTGCGATGTTCTTGCACCACTGAGCAGCTTGAAACTGCTTATTTACTTGCACGACTTGGGAGTATAGGGCAGGGTCAGAAGGCCGGTAATTAAAATGAACGCAAGAGGATGCGGGGGAAGAATCAAGCAAATCAAATTCTTGCAGCTCATCGGTTGCCCTCTCTAGTTCCTCCTGCCAGTCTCTCCAGAGGAGGAGAGGGTTTTTAACAGGTCTTCTCACTTTGTAAGCAGAGAGGGATTGGACAACGCGATGAGCTGGTTTTCCCTGATTAGCATTTTTAACCAACGATGTTAGGGTCTCGGGAAATTCTGCGGGCTTTAGAGGGATCCCCACCAGGCAGGTTGCCATCGGATTTCCTGATGCTCCAGTGGACAGGCACAAGTCATCACGGTGCAGGGTCTTTGCTAGCGTCACCCAGACGTTTTGCTTGGGTTGAGGCACGATCCACGCTGCTGTCTCGGTCACCAGGAATAGCAGGCTGAGAACGGTTAGGGTTATCATCTTCAGGATGGCTTTTTCTAAAATAAAAGAAACACACATCAGTGATAACATATCTATGAAAAATGGGTTAACACAAAAGAGGGGACTCGGGGTTTCCTCCTCCTCCTTGTTGGGGGTCAGGGGGTAGCCTCTCCAGACTCGACATCATTTTCTCTACTGTCTGGTGGCCTGTTCGGATGTTTTGGGACATAAGGCTTCACCCACCGCTGTGGGATCCACCTCAGTCCGTGGGGTGAGGAAACACAGGTGTAACCTCGCCCCCAGGTCAGTAGCTGAAAAGGTCCCATGATCTTCTGGGACTCCGGGTCCCGCACCAGCACTGGAGGACGGTCTTGTAACTTGTAGTTGCTGGTGGACTGGAAATTCTGGGCCACTGGAGGGTTTAAACTGTCATTGGGGCAGTTCAAAAAGTTAAGGGTAAACAGGGCTTTGCACAGCCGATCTTGGGGCGTGCAGCCCTTCATACTCTCTTTTTGATGAACTAGGACCTTTTTGAGCGATTGATGGGCTCGCTCAACGATAGCTTGGCCTGTGGGGGAATGAGGGATGCCTCTTTTATGCTCCACTCCCCACTCCTGCAGGAAGTCTTCCAGTTTCCTGGAGACATATGCTGGACCATTGTCAGTTTTTATTTCTCTGGGAACACCCAACACCGAGAAAGCCTGCATGAGATGTTTGCAGACATGCTCATGCACAGCTTTCTCTCCTGTGTGGGCAGAGGCATAGACTGCACCAGAGAAGGTGTCGATAGCGAGGTGCATATATTTGAGCCTGCCAAATTCTGGGATGTGGGTGACATCCATTTGCCACACCTCACAACTCCCCAGACCTCTAGGGTTAACCCCCGACCCCAGGGATGGCATCGCTGTTGACTGACACTGTGGGCATGTGGCCACAATGGCTCTGGCTTGATCTTGCCTCAGATGGAATTGGCAGACCAATCCAGGCACATTTTGATGGAACATCTGATGCCTCAGTTTAGCTTGTTGGAATACATCAGGAAGCTGAGCCATTCTAACAGGAGCAGCGAGGGAATCTGCTCTTTCATTTCCCTCAGCTACCGGGCCAGGGAGCTCCGTGTGCGATCGCACGTGCATGACAAAGAAAGGCTGCTTTCAGTGACAAACGGCATGGATTAACTTTGAAAGCAGCTCAAACAGCTGAGGATTTGAGACTTCCTTCAGACCCGCACTTTCTGTTCTTGCTACTACCGCTGCAACATAGGCCAAATCGGTCACCAGATTGAATGGTTCAGGGAACCTCTCAAAGGCTCTGACGACAGCATCCAACTCAGCAACTTGCGGAGATCCCTCCACATACTTAACATCTGTTTCCCACTGCTGAGTCTGAGGATCCATCCAAGTCATTACTGACTTGTGGGATGCTCCAGATGTGTCTGTGAAAACTGTCACAGCCTTGAGGGGTTTTCTGCTCCCAATTTCTTTTGGTATCACATTAAATTTTGAGTTGAAAAACTTATGAGCAGGGGCATGGACTGAAACTTGTCTACTGTAGCTGTCTAAGGCAATTTGGAGAGTCTCATTCTCCTGCAGCAATTGATTGAACGTTTCCTTGGTCAGCTTATCTGGGGACGCTTTGTCCCAAGACAAGCTGACCGGCACCCGTACGCACGCAAAATCACACGCAGCCATCTCCCGAAGACTTGCTCTAGCTTTTCTGATGAGCTGCGCCATCAGCTCTTGCAGCCTTGTGATACTTTTGGACCTTTGATGGCTTAGGAAAACCTGCTCTATAATTAAGAGTGGGTCCCTTGAGCCCTGGTCCCACTGATAAATTAGCCCACACAGGTGTGGCAACTTTCCCAGAACAATGAATTCAAATGGTAGACTAGGCTCATATCTATGTGCCTGCCTCTCCACCAAGGCGTCTTGCACTTTCTCCAGAGCTTCCCACGCCTCTGGGGTCAGAGACCTGGGAGAACTCAGCTCCTCCTCCCCCTTCAATACTATTAAGAGGGGGGCTAGGTCTTCAGTAGTGAGGCCCAGCCAAGGCCTGACCCAGTTCAAAGTCCCACACAGGGAATGGAGGTCTGCCAGAGTTTTCGGATCGCTGTTGATGGCCAATTTCTGAGGAGCAATGGTCCTCTCAGCGATCTGCAGGCCCAGATACTTCCAGGGTGGCATCCTTTGAACTTTCTCATCTTGGAGTTGAAATCCTGCAGAGGTCAGAACTTCAACCACCAGGTCAAGCGCACGTTTCAGTAGATTGTCATGGGGGGCACACACCAGGACATCATCCATGTAGTGGTGGATGATGACCTCCCCCACTTTGGCGCGGACGGGAGACAGCAATGAGGAGACATACCACTGGCAAATGGTGGGCGAGTTCTTCATGCCCTGTGGCAACACTCGTCAGTGGAATCTCCTCATTGGGGCTTCTCGGTTAAGGGTGGGCACCGAGAAGGCAAACCGTGGGGCATCATCAGGATGTAGGGGAATTTGAAAGAAACAATCTTTGATATCGACAACAGCCAATTTCCAATTTCGTGGGAGCATGGTTGGGGTAGGCATCCCGGGTTGAAGAGGTCCCATGCCTACAATGACCTTGTTAATTTCATGAAGGTCGTGAAGCAGCCACCACTTATCCTTCCCTGGCTTACGGGTAACAAAGACCTGGGAATTCCAAGGGCTTGTGGTTTCCACTATATTTCCCTTAACAAGTTGCTCCTCCATGAGTTTGTTGAGTGCCTTTAATTTATCTTTTCTTAGTGGCCACTGATCAATCCAGACCACTGTATCAGTTGTGCAATCTAGTTTCTGGAAAGGGAGCTCCACAGTGGCCGCCTCTAAAAATCCCCAGGGGTTTTCGGGATCTCGATTTTAACCCCCCCACTGAGACATGAGATCTCTCCCCCACAGGGAAACCTGATAATCAGCAACAAATGGGCATAAGTTTGCCAATTGCCCATCTCGCCCCGCAATTTGAACCACACTCTTTGAGACTCTTGCCAATTGGGTACCCCCTATACCCTGAATCTTGCCTGCCACGGGTTGCAACTCCCAATGTGACGGCCACCTCCTTTCAGGGATGATCGTCACATCCGCTCCCGTGTCAAGCAGTCCTTTCATGTTTAGAGACTCTGCACCCTGCTTGATGCTGCAATCAATTATCGGTTTGTTTTCACCCACCACTTCAGCCCAGCAGACACCCAGTGCATGGTTGTCCACTGGGATTCCCTCTGGAATGGGGATAAACTGGGCGACTATTTGCCCCTTCGCTAAAAATAATGGTGGGTGAGTGCAGCGCGCCAAGAGAATGAGGTTCTCCGGACCACCCGGGAAGGTGATTGGAGAAATCTCAATCTCTGGGGGTGTGTGTTTGGTGTCCCCGATGGCAATGTACTTACTTGTTGGTCCCGAGTCTATCACTGTCCCATCCAGTGGGTCCACAGCAACTACCGTCCAGTGCTGGGACCGAAAGAAAATGTCCTTGATAGTAGTGAGATGTCTCGTCTGGTTAATTGGCCATGCTTTTGGATGTTTCGCTCCCCCTCCCCCCGCAAGACCTGTCCCATTTATCTCTTCGCACGGGACAGGTTCGCGCTCGGCTCCTAGTTTTTTTTATTCTGATCTTTATTGGCCCTCCCTCCCAAGTTGCTCCCTATATTTCCCTGGCAAGGGCTGGAGGCTGGACACTCTCTTGCCAGATGTCCCAGCTGACTGCAGCGGAAACATTGGAATGGCCGCGTGGGTGATGGTGGAATGCGCTGGCCCGCTGGGTCACAGCTGCCACTGGTGTTCTCCTTGGCCCAGGCGTTGGCATGCTCCTGGGGACTCCCACCATTGGGACTTTCTTTGTGCACGCTTCAATGAGGATGTCTAAGGTGGGAGGTGGGTGAATTGGAAGGGTAAAAATAACTTGGCGACAAGCCTCATTTGCATTTGCCTTCGCCGCTTCCAACACAAATTGTTCCTGCAGCTCTGCTTTGTCTATTTATCTCTCCACCTGCGCCTGCAACCTGTCTAAAAACTTAACAAAAGGCTCATTAGGGAGCTGCTTGACATGTAAGAAATTAACTTGGGGTTCTTCCTCGGGTAGCAAATTAAAAGCTTTCTCGGCAGCCTCTGCAATTCTCACCAGCACAGACCGGGGCAAACCCCTGGCCTGTTCCTCTGGTTTAGCCCAGTTCCCTTTGCCGCACAGGTGATCTAAGGTAAGACGGCTTTCATCCGCGTCAACCCAAACTCCTTCTGAGCTTTGCACAATTCCCTCTTTGTTCGGAAGGAGAAGGGCTCCCATTTACAGTACCTCCCTCCCCTACCACAAAAACTCAGTGGTGTGACAACGGGAATATCAACCTGTTCCGGGTTCTGTTTTCCAGGCTTGTCACTTCTGGTTTTCGAAGCATGGGAACTGGAAGAAGAGGCGTGGGAACCAGAAGGGGGGGCGTGGGACCCAGAAGCCAGAAGGGGTGGGGCTGGAAGACCGACCGAGTAGGAGGGCTTATGGGAGGAGCAACAGCAGGGAGAGGCGGGGTTTGGGGGTGTGGTGGTGGCATGACACGCCCTGGAGGAGGAGGAATCTCCCGAGGGGAAGTGGGACGGGTCAGGGTAGGAGGAAGGGGAGGAGTTAGGGAGGAAGGGGTTGGCCGCCAAGGGAAGAAAAGGATTATAGGGAGAAGAAGCACAAGGGAGGGGCCTGACCATGTGGTCCCCACCATCTTGTGCCCTCTGGGGGCCATTTTGAGGGTCAGGAAAAGAATAGGGGAGCACAGGGGAACAACAAGTACAAGGGGACACCGGGGGACAAGGGTTCTGGAACATCAACTGAGAGTTTTCAACTTTATTAAACTGGGGATCAACAACCTGGGAAGCATTAAACTTGGGATTGACAACCAGGGAAGTGGGGGAATGGGTAAGGGCTCTGGCAGCTTGGCCAGGGCTGCCAGGGATAGGGTTCTGAGGGAGACATGGGGAGCCAGGAAGACTGGAGCCACTGCTGGAGCCCTGCGTTGCATGGGGTGCTCCGCAGGTCAACCCCAACTTGGGGACAGAGGTAGAGGAACACGAGGATGGGGAAACTGGGGAAAACTGCCCTGGCTGTCCTTGCACTCCCCCTTTTTCAACTAAAGAAGACCAAATCAAAACAAAAAGTGAAATTAACTTAAAAGCCATCTTGTCCCCTTGATTAACTAATAAAGTCAATTTGCAACCAACCGAATTCCAAAATACTACAGAGCTTACATTTTCAGGGGACACCTGGGGGTAATGCAAGAACAGCCATCTAACCATTTGCTTAACCAACCCCTTAGAAAACTTCTTCCCTCCCCCCTCAAGGATACCCACAACTTGGAAATAAATCCCCCTCTGCTGAGCCGACAACCGCGCGCCCATCTTCACTAACCCCGGCCCAGCAGTCCTACCACCCCCTGGCAGCAAACGAGAACTTAAAAGAACAAAAGATAAGGATCTGGATCTACAACTTTTTTCCCCCCCTGGGGAAACTCAGACTCCTTCCCCCCCCCCCGGGGAAACTCACCACACCAGGTCCGGATGCTGTGCTGCAGGAGGTGTCCACGACCCCAAGGTGATCTTCGGCGCGTCGAGGGCTGCCGCCTTGATCCCTGGGAGCACCACTGGACAAAAGTTGGTCTGCTCCCACCGGGGTAGTTGCTGTCCACAAGTCCGCTTGACGGTCACCCATCCGACTCCTCTGGGGGTCTCCACGTAGCAGAAGAGGCCCCATGTTGGGCGCCAACTGATGCTGCTCCTCACAGCTCAGCGGAGCTCCGGGCTAGCTCTGCTCCGCTCCGTCACTGGCAGCAGTCAGGAGTGGCGAATGGCAGGGGAATAAATGCTTCCCTGCCGAACCTTCAGAGCCCCACTCGCACTCGGGCTCTGCAAGTCTCAGGCGTCATAGGTCGCAGTGGAAGGATGGAGAAGGCTCAGTCTCTCGTACTTCCCAGGAACAAGTTTATTAACAAGGAGAGGAAAAGGTGACAAGAGTGCAGGCTGGGACAGAGGAACAAGAGAAAGAGCCCCGAGCACCTCTGTGCACCAGGTTTTAAGCAGGGGTGGGTACAATCCAGGGACCAATCAGGGATTATGTAGGGAGGAGTCAAGGGAGGGGTTTACAGCACTGGGGACCAATGGAACAACAGCAGGGGCGGGATAACAACTTTACAGCCAATCATGTGCTAAACAAGGTATAAAGGACATGGAAGGAACTGGAAGGAAGGGTGGGGTTTACAATGATGGATGGGGAGAAGGGGCAGGGTGAAGGTAACTGACAGAGAACTTTCAGGCAAAAGAGGAGAGGTTTACGATATTGACAGTTGGGGTAAAACCATTACGTAACAATAGGGGAGCAACAGGAACATACCAACTTATGTTTAACAAAATTAAACAGACTGCAACAGCAAGCTACTTGAAAAGCACTTTGACAGGCAAAGCAGTATCTTGCAAGTATCTTCATATTATTGGATGGTTTTCTGGTATTATCCTGCATTTTCCCTTTTATATGCTGGGATGGTTTAATTTCTAGTCTTTCAAAAGTTTATTTCTCCTTTTCAAACCACTTCCATATACAAGCTCCTATTAAAAACTCAACAATATTCTGTTTTACTATAGAAACAGATGACTTTTTAAATGGAAATGGTAATGTTTTATCCCAAAAAGCTCTTTCAAGCTCCCACTCCACCTTTTTCAGCTCTTCTCTGAGTTTTTTCAATTATTCTGTCTTGAAATTATGATCAATAAAATTTCTTTATCAAAAGTTTGAATTGCACTTCTAAGTTTTTTTTTTCTTTTATGATAACCAGAAAAATACTCTTAAAAGTAGAATAGTTCATTTAATCATCTCTGAGATCAGAGTGTTTTCTATGTTGTGTATTGCAATACTGTTCACTTAGTTGCTCCTTGCCTATTTCAATGTCATATCCTTGACAAAGATTTTAGAGATGCAGCAAAAATACCTCCATCATCTATACAGCGTAAGTGTTAAACAGATAGCAAAGTTTCACAAATGCCAGGTGGTTGTTGCAAAATAGAAAATCATGAGGGATTTTCATGCCATACATTGTTGAGTAACTGGCACAGTTCAGACACTAAGATCTGTGTATTTGAAGAGAAAAGGTAGGTGCTTGGATGAAGTATGTAGGTAGTCAGAATGCAGGTGTTTTAGTTGGAGGCAATTAATCCATCTGAATATTTCCACAATGTTGTAGAAGCTTTTCAAAACACTGATAAGCCCAGGAAGGCATTTTTATTTCAAAAAATATCTAGGCATGAGGATGACTATTCTATGAAATAAAAATAATAAAAGCAAAGAAACACCTCATCTTTTATCCAACCAAATCACATATGGAACCACAGAAAAAGCATCTTGTCCATAACTATTGCAAAGTATTTAAGAGAGGGGTCAATATATCTTTTAAAGGTATGAAGTAATGTTTTTAATCTATAAAAGTCTAATCACAGGCAAGCAAAACAAGCAAAAGTAAGTGCACATCCATATTCATCTCTCCTATGTAGACCTAAATTCTTCATACCTCATACCTATTGATGCCTAAATACCTAACAGGTACAGTAGTGAGCCAGAGAAAGCTTACAGGAGGAGAGTCAGGACTCTGATCTTCTAATCTGGGCACTCCCTGGCACTGTAGCCTATTTAAGGTTGACTGAAATCTGTGGTTATAATGTCTTCAGAATGCGATCCTTGATAACATCATCATCAGGGAGTGATTATCAAATTCATCACTCCAGCCTATCTGAAAACCTTTTCAGGGTACAGTCTGTAAGCAGAAAGTTGATACATGAGCATATAATTGATCATCAGAGTTCAAGATGCTCAGTTTAGCTTTAATTAAGTCCCACATTGCATTGTAGCAGATGCAAATGCATTGCTACTGGTCAATGAGGGCTGCAAAGAGTTTCAGATTTGCTCTGATGTACTGGTAGAAAAATCTGGAAGAATTACTCTTCCAGTTACTCACATGTCTTCAGTGTAACAACTGAAGACTCTCTAGAATAACAGAAGAAAGAAGAGGCTATTGGAAACTCAGATTTTATTTACTAAACCATTGAAAAAAAAAAAGAAAATATGGTTTCACTTCCTAATGGACAGAGCCCACTACAAACTATGGTAAAAATAAGCACAAAATCACATTCCAAGAACTCATGTGACTTTAAGCAGTTTACAAGCAGCAATTTTATCACTTCTTTTCTGCAAATTTATAAAAGATATCCTTTTTCAATCACAGCCAGGCTACCAATTAAATGCAAAGCAAACTTTTGCATTGAACTATAAACTTAAGATTCTAGGCACCTTCTTTATTTAGAAGACTATTTTTTAAAATCATGCATGAAAGTATTTTAAAAACCCTGACACTCTGTGTTTTCATTTTCATTGCAATCATTAAAGTAAACTCAAATTTTGAAGTTTTTCATTTGTGGTAAAATATTATGTTATACTAACTTGATGAGGCTTTGGAGCTTTGTAATGAATATTAACAGATCAAACATATTAGCAATAATCTTTAGCAGAAGTGGGGAAAAAAAAACCCCACTAATGATCCTGGTAGAATTGAAACTTATACTTTAATAAAAACACTTCAGACTGTGCCTCATTTGATGTCAAAATCAGAGTTCAACAAAAAATTGGTAGTTACTTTTTATTGTCAATGTAATGTATACATATTGTTCACAAAATATTTATCAATGCTTCCATTGTACAGTGTACCATCATGAGAGAGAGAAAATACAAAATATAATATACATTACCAGCAATTTTGAGGAGTTGTGTTGGTACGAGATAAATAAAAGGCTATTACACAACAGCAGAAGTATGTATAATATATCAAAATCCCTGCCTATATGTTCATAGCTACTGGAAAAACACAGCACCCAAACCTGACTCACCCAGGCCCAGCTGGGGACATAAAGCTATTCTTTGTGCAGCTGAAACACCTCACTCCCACTTTACAGAATCTTTTCACCAGATTGTGTCCATTTGCACTACAGCCTTGACCATCTTATTCCACTTGGACATGCTGAGCTTAGAAGCTAAAAATATATATATAAAACACCTGAAACATGATCCAAATAACCCCAAAGCTTGACTGTTTCCTATTATAAAGAGTGCAAATCTGCAGTAATGGCTGGCACGGCATCTGAAAGCCAAGGTCATTCCATACTTTATATCAGAGGTATTGCACAGGAAAAATGTGTTTTTGACACTTTGTGAACAGCTTAAACACTACAGCCCACATTATGCTATGACTGGTACAAATGAGACACATATTTAATTTCCATGAGCTCAGCTGACCAGAAAGGGCTCTGCATTTGAAATGAGAAACAGTGTTCTCTCTCCAGGGTGTAGCGTCGCAGTCTGGATGGTAAGGTGATGCTACCTTCCGAAAGATGTCTCCAGTTTGGAAGGCATTTGGGCAGGCAACAGACACTCCACTCACACAGACTCACTCAGCCACAGATAGCTCTCAGCAGATGAAAACACAAGAGGGGCATTTCATAGGGTAGTCCAGAAAGGGTTTATTTGCCACCACTCCAGGGGAACCAGGGACAAAATGCAAGGAACAATGGAGGATCCAGGCTTAAATACAGGGCAGACAAGGGCAGAGAAGAGCATCAGGAACCAATGGGCTGAGGGCACAGGGGCAGTTCCTGGGCGGGGCTCCCAACTGGCAGTCAATGGGATGTTGGGGCAGAGTTATAGGGAGGCAAGGGCGAGTGGGACATTGAGGAAGGGAGAACTTTCCAGAGGGTAACCATAAAAGGGAGAAAGGAGTGGGACAGGCCAATGGGCCAATGGGGTACAAAGAACTGGGGTAAATTTGCATAATGGTGCAAAGGATCATGGGGAAAAGGCCTTTTCTATACTTTTATATTATACTTCTGAGGCCTCCTTCTGAGACATTACCATAGCAAGTTCTTGAGCTTCCACACGAGGGTGCTGTGTGCTGAACATCTCAGCCTCCCACTCCCTTTCTATGAGGGACAGCAAGTAAAGCAAAATTTTTAAAAGACATGCCCATCTATTGCCTCAAACAAGGGAGCACCTAGAATACTTACCTTGAGCACCTTTCTTAAGTAAAAAGATATCAATTTCCCAGCTTGTCAAAAGCAACTGCCAGAGAAAGACCACTTCTTGCAGCAAATATTCAAGCAGAACTAAGATAATCCTACCTACAGCTACCTATATGCATACAAAAAATATCCAGATATATTCCTTTCTCTTTCAATAAGTCAAAAGATGGGGCACTGGGCTGGATCTGTGAAGTTTGTTGCAAAACCTTATTCAATATCACATAGAGGTGAAAAGGCTGAACATGTATTTTTGACCACAGTCATGTTGCCTGATTATAATAAGTGCTAAACACCTGCAGCCTTTATACAAGTGAAGACTGTCTCTGACAACAGACACATAATTATCAGAACAGCAGCATATCTGGAATATCAATATGGTGAGCTAAAATACTGCCCAATTTTAAGAAGCTACATTCACTTAATTGCTCTGTAAGTACAGAAAAGGATTACAAAAATGCAGATGTTATATACTGAATAGATCTGATAGTAAAAGGTCTTAAAATCTTAGAAAATTCGGGGACTTAGAAAGAAAGTTAGGTTTGGAAAGCCCTGGGAAAAGTAGGCCCTGTGAAATGTTAGGCCTTGTGCTTGCTAAAGATCAGGTCAAACTGCACCTGTGTAGTCAGTATATGATAAATGATA